AAAGACACGAAACTATACAAACTGTTTGCCGCGCATATCGTGAACAACCCGAAGATGACACTGTCGGAGGTGTTAGCCATGGCTGACGCCGAGAACAGCTCCAGCGATGAGGAGGAGGAAGAGGAGGCCGACGACGAAGAAGAGGAGGCGGTGACCGCCGATGAGGACGAGGAGTACGAAGAGGATGAGGAGGACGATGAAGACGATGAGGAAGACTATGGCGACGACGAGGCCGAGGAAGTGGTGGTGAAGTCGTCGTCCGCGGCGGCGGCGAAGGCTACGGGAGACCACATGTGCGCCGACTGCAAGTGTGCGGCCAATCGAGACAGTAGTAAGCAGTCGTCCAACGGCTCGTCAAACCAGTCGTCGCCCCAGAAGTCAAACAGCAATAAGTCGTCGAAGAGTAAGAAGAAGTCGTCGATCGATATGCACGACGAGAACACCCGGCGCTTTGTGGCCCGACTCGGACGGGAGGACTCGGGCGGCCAGTCGTGCGATTGCTTCGATTGCGTGAAGTATGCGGAGGAGCGCCAGACGGCCGACGATATGGCTGTGAAACTGGTGGCCGACGAGGAGAAGAAGAAGAAGAAGTCCGAGAGAAAGAAGTTACAGAAGAAGAAGAAAAGGGATAAAAAGAAAGCGGAAAAAGTGTCGACCTCTTCGGCACCGGGAGCCACGGCGTCGGCATCTGTTCATAACAACTCCCAAACGGATAGACAACAGAACGCCATAAATGATAATAATATTAGCGATAAAAGTAGTGTTAAAACGAGTAATAGTAATACGAATGGAGATATAAATAGCAATAGAAATAATAGCAAAAAATCGGAAACTAATGCCAAACCGGCGAAGAATGAGCCGAAGACTAGCGCCAAGAATAAGAAGAACGCGAAGAACTCGGCGGACAATAAGCCAAACGCGAAGAATAGCGGACAACAGCACCAAAACGGCGGCAAATTTGTTGATAGCAAGGCATCGCACGTGTCGTCGCATAAGTCGTCGCCGAAGTCCGAAAAAGACATGGATTCGCTGCGCGAGTCGGACGTGGAGGAGGAGGAGCTGTCGTTCAGCAGCGCCTATGTGTCACAAATTGCTCAAAGAAAGTCCAAACCATCCATTAATCAATCAAAGACCGCATCCAACGCGACGATAACGGCTCAACTCATACCCCAAAGTGATACTCATTATTACGATGAATATAATAGTAGTGCGAAAAATGGCAACAATTATGTCGATAATAGCGATCATCACCACATGAATGGGTTCGCGAAGAATAGTAGTAATAATAACCAACAAAATAACGGCAATAAAAATACTGTCAATAATAACCGCGAAACGGACGACGAGTTTCCCAAATATAAGCAATACTTTTACGAACAAAAGCCGAAGGCCTCGAAGGGAACGACAGCTCAACCGGCGAAGTGTAAGCCCCAGGACGTGGAGAAGAGCATAGAGTTGGCAATACTGGCCAACCAGAGAGCGGAGAGCAATAAGTTCTCCGAAGCCATAGACCTGTTCAGCCAAGCGCTCAGCCATAACCCAAACGACTACCGATTTTACGTGAACCGTAGCTACTGTTACGATAGTATACAGGACTTCCGGAGTGCCCTCAAAGATGCCGATACGGCCATCAGTTTGCGACCCGATTGGCCGAAGTGTCACTACAGGCGCGGCAAGGCGTTGGCCGGCCTTAAGAACTATCAGGAGTCGGAGCTGTCGCTGAAAAAGGTTTTGACTCTGGAGAAGGACTGCGACGAAGCGCTGAGCGAGTTATGGCACGTGAGGTACGGCGCGATTGTGGGCATGGGCTACGACACGACCACCGCTAACCTATACTCGTCTCAATACGACTCGATTAAGGAGGCGCTGAGCGCGCTGTCCATCAAAGGCGAGGAGCAAAAGCTGATTAGTCGACGAATATCTGCCGATATATGGAACCAAAAAAGCGGTTTCGCCGACAAAAAGGATAGTTTTACGGACGACGACATCTATATATCCGATGACGAGTACAATGCCGTCCGAGAAGCGAGTTTTGAGGAGACGTCGTGAGTGTTTGGCCGCAGATCTCTCGGGACTTATGGCCACAAATCTAGTGATTTGTTTGGTCAGAGATCTGGCGATTTGTTGGCCACAGATCTAGTGATTTGTGTTTTTTGTGTGAAAACTAATTGACTTTTGTTTATGTGTAATGATAGGCCGACAAACCCTTTTGGATGGAAAGCCCTTTGGGTGGGAAACGTGGCGCTGACGGCCAACTTGGAGACCGTGACGGCGCTGTTCCGCAAGTTCGGTGCCCTTAACTACTGTAATATCTTTAAAGGCAATAATGGCGGCTCTTTCATACTCGTCCACTACGACAACTCGGAGTCGCCGCGAAAAGCAATGACTAAATATCAGGTATTGGTTTAGATTGCAATCAGTTGTCCACCACTTCAGGCCTACCAGAGTCCTGAATAATGCCCCGAACTCTCTGATAGCCTTTTGATATGTTTTTGAGTTGAGTTTTGTTTAGTGTTTATTATTTTGAAAACTTAGTGTTGAGTTTAATTTTTGTGTTGATTTTGTTTTGTTATACTAATTGTGTTGTGGTTGTAGGGGAAAGTGATACCAGGCGTGAGTATACCGGACACACCGCTGACCATACGTTTCCGTCCAAATAAAGACCAAAAGAAACCCAATTACGACCAGAGGCTGGAGTCGGATGAGTGCTACTACTGGCGCACCACTGGGTGCGCGCGCGGAGATAAATGCCTTTACAAACACATTCAGGCGAATAAGGGGGTCGACAAGCAGGCTTGGATGTGCAACACCACCAAAAAAGGGTTACAACCGTTCCAGAAGACCCAGAAGTGATGATACGAAAGATATGGCCGGAAAAAATAGCCCATAAATTGAGATTTTAATGATGAATGGGAGACGTGTTTGTGTTCACAATTTGTTTGATTTTTTTGTCGATTAAAATATATAAGAAATCTAATCAAAAACTATATGAAAATATATATTATATACTGATTTTGATTATTATTATTGCCGTTCATGTTGAGTCCAATTTTTTTTCAATATTCAATATATTTTTCAAATTATAATTAAGAATTTGTCACTTAATATGAGTTTAACCAAAGATTTTTGGATTAGTTTTTTTTCACATGAAAATAAGATGTGATTTAGTTGTTGATAAAAATAAATACATATACTATTCGGACATTTTTCTAATTAATACTTAGTTTTGTTAATTAATAATTATAATATATTATAATAGGAATTACAATGAATTAATTATAAAGTTGTTAAATAATTAATAAATTGTACCACAATTTCGATGCTAATATGCACGCAAACACTGTTTACCGAAACACTTATTATGATTGAAATGTTTTCTACAATTATAAATCAATTTCTTATAGGAATTCAAATAAAATGCAATTTCAAAACACTTTCTAGTTTTATTTTTAATTATTTTTAAAATGACAGTATATTACCTATAATAATTATAATAAATCAGATTTATTTTAATTTATATCGAAAAACTGAGTATTTTCATAAGGAATACAACATGTATTGATTCAAATTAACTGTACCTCTAGTTTGCAAATTGAATGTCATTTGAAATAAAGTTTTAATTGTAAAATAATTACCGGTATTTTAGGGAATTGAATGTTTAGTGAGAAATAAAATACGAAATAAATTCTTATATAATTTCAAACAAATATCTCAATAATCTCTAAGTAATCACTTTATGTTGATTTTATGGCCAATATATCTGAGTTTAGGGCACTTCTCGTGCAAAGCCATC